AGCCCATTTGCCCTTTTCCATTCTTATTGGCCTTTTACCATTGTGGCCCGTGCTGCCCCTGTGCCTCCAGGGCGTATGGCATTTGAGCCACCTGCCCAATGCCTACATGCTCTGCCATGCGGCAGGCTCCTGATACTCAGTATGGACCCAGATTTCTCTCTTTTAGATAGGGCCCTCACTCTCCTATGTATTTCTCCCACTGAATAAAAGTCTAAAAACATATCATGCTGCCTCATTCATTTATGCTGGTATTCAGAATTCTTCTCTGAATGTTAGGCAAAACCCACACAGGCTTATTTTTTTTTTAAATTATTTATTTATTTGAAAGGCAGAATTACACAGAGGGAAGGAGAGGCAGAGAGAGAGAGGTCCTCCTTCTGATGGCTCACTCTCCAATTGGCCGCAACAGCTGGAGCTGCACCAATCTGAAGACAGGAGCCTCTTCTGAGTCTCTCACGCAGGTGCAGGGGCCCAAGGACCCTCTACTGCTTTCCCAGACCATAGCTGAGAGCTGGATCAGAAGTGAAACAGCCAGGCCTTGAACAGGTGCCCACATGGGATGCCGGTGCCCCAGGCCAGGGCATTAACCCACTGTGCCACAGTGCCGGCCCCACACAGGCTTATTAATGTTGGGAATTTATTAATAAGCACATAGTGATATTGTATGGCACCCCATAATCCAATATCAGGAATATGGACTTTGACACTTTAATGCAGCTCGGAGCACCTGTAGAATGATGCTGATGATGTCTGTGCCTGTGGGTTTTTATGTAGATGGAACAGAAATATTCACCAAGTAAGCAGAACCAACTATGTTGCTTGATCTTTTCATCTGGTAACCAGTGCACATCTGGGATAGGCAGTGACTTCAGCTGTCCACATGTACCCTTCCTATTAATTCAAAGAAAACTCCCTGACTGCCATCTGCCTTCCTTGGATTCGACATCCCACAGGACCTCTGAGACTAGGTTCATTCCTTCCTATGAATTCAAACTTCTCATAACTTTAAGAAAATGATTTTAGACACAACATGAAACTTCATAACTCCTTACCCTAAAAGATTCACCCAAGAACTTGAAATACAAGGGTGTTCCAAAAATTCATGTTTTTGGGCAAATGGAATTAGATTTTAACTTTATTTTTGATGCAAAAAATCTTTGGAAATCCACACACAGTTCTTTTATCATATGCATTTTTTCATGAACTTTTAAAACCCATATATCTATGGATTTCAAAAAATTTTGCACCAAAATAAACATGTTTTAATTCCATTTTCCATGAATATTTTGAAATCCTTTTGGCTCTCAAAAGCTGCATTCATATAAAATTAACACAAGAATATACACAACTAAAGTCTTCTTTGGAGCAATTTAGATTTTAAAATATGCTACCACAATTTTGCCATGTTTTTCCATTTGAAAGAGTTTATTCTCTTTGCCCGTTTCCTTCTACTTGTGTCTTGCATCACTAGTCTAGGAGAATTAAAAACAAAATAGGAAGGTACTTCACACATCTCATGGAAAATGGAATTAAAAGATAAATTTATGTAGCTGTCAAAGGTTTTCAAAACCCATGCCTATGAACGATCTTCAAAGAATTCATGAAAATGTGTATGATTGAAAAAAAAATGATTCCAAACATTTTTTTTTTTTTGCAAGGCCACATTGTGGTATGGTAAGTAAAGCTACTACCTGCAACACTGGCATTCCATATGGGCACCAGTTCACATCCTGGCTGTTACACTTCTGATCCAGCTCCCTGATCATGTCCTCAGAAAAGCAGTGGAAGATGGCCCAAGTGTGTGAATCCCTTCCACCCAGGTGGGAGAACCCAATGAAGTTATGACCCCTGATTTCAGCCTGGCTGAGCCTTGGCTGTTGAGTCCATCTAGGGAGTGAACCAGCAGATCAATGATCTCTCTCTCTCTCTCCATAAATCTTTTTCATAAATAAAAGTATCTAAAAATCAAGTATTTTTGTGCCAATACTTATTTTTAGTTCCATTTTCCATGAAATTTTTGAAGTATGCTTGGATGTCGGATTGAATCCCATGATATGTGAATAGAAGTCTCAAAAATGTCTAACCTGAGGGAGCCACACCACAGATAAAGGAACTCAGAGTAAACCCTGAGAATTTGTATCCTGCCCAAAGAAACCGTTGCTTCCCAAACATGATATCATGGCTTTCAGCTGAGGTCCTGTTGTCAATGCACCCCGATCTGGGCGCAGGGTCCTTAGTGCTCCTTCTTCCTGTGCCCACTGCCTCCTGGAAGCACTCTTGAATGTTCTGTGTACTTCCAGTTGCTTCACAAAAGACTCATCATGGGACTACCATGAATGACAGGGAGCAATGAGTCCCACCACCTCGAAGTCTCTCAGCAAGGGTAACTACTGCTTCTCCTTTCTGGAATCTGCACAAAGCTTCCTGAGGTGCTGCACACACAGACACAGATGGCTTCTCCATCTCTGCAGGGTGCTCAGCAGGAAAGATTGCCCCCTGCTACAACTAAATATAGTCCATTGTGCTCAGAGAAGATGCATGGCATGATTTTAATTTTTTTTTTTAATTTTCTGAGACTTGCTTTATAACAAAACATGCAAATATATTTTAGAGGAAGTTCCACACACTGATGGGAAGAATGTGTATTGTGCAACTGTGGATTGAACAGTTCTGTAGATATCAATTAGGTCCATGTGGAACATAGTGTCAATTAGCACTGTTGGTTTTGTTGATTTTGTCTAGTTGATCTGTGCATTGATTATAGACAGGTATTGACAGGTATTGAAATCATACATTAGTACTGTATTCAAGTCTATGTCTCTTTATTAATATTCATTCATATTTATCTTAAATAGCTGGTACACCCTGTACTTGGATACTATAGTCATATCTTCCTGTTGAATTGATCCTTTATTCATTACATAGTGCCTTTCTTTGTCAGGTTTTTTTTTTAACTTTTATTTAATGAATATAAATTTTCAAAGTACGGCTTATGGATTACAATGGCTTCCCCCCCATAACGTCCCTCCCACCCGCAACCCTCCCCTCTCCCACTCCCTCTCCCTTTCCATTCACATCAAGATTCATTTTTGATTCTCTTTATATACAGAAGATCAGTTTAGCATACATTAAGTAAAGATGTCAGTTTTAATAGTTTTTGTGTTAAAGTCTATTTTTCCAGTATTAGGATGGCAACACCTGTGCTTTTTTGCCTTGTTAGCATGGGATATACTTTTCATCCTTTTACTTTTTGTCTGTGTGTATCTTTGTTGGTGAGGTATGTTTCCTGTAGGGAGCAAATAGATGGGTATTATTTTTTAATCCATTCAGCCAATGTGTATCTTGAGAGTTAGCACCATTTAAATTCATGGTTACTATTGATAATGACTTGACCCTATCATTTTTCCATAAATATTCCTATTTTTTACATTGCATTTCCTTTGTTTTTATTGGCAGATTTTTTGCCTTCACATTCTTGCCTAACGATGACTTTCTTTGTTCCTATGTGTAACACATCCTTAAGCATCTTTCACAAGGCTTTTGTAGGCATCTTTTGTAAGATGAGTGGTGACAAATTCTTTCAATCTCTGTTTGTTATGGAAGGTGTTTATTTCACCTTTATTCAAAATGAGAGCTTTGCAGGGTACAGTATTCTGAGCTGAGTTTTTTTTTTTCTCTTAAGTCTTGGACTATTCTCTCCTAGTCTGTTTAATTTTCCATGTGTGTTACATCCCATATGACTATCTTTTTCATACCTTTCTTCAATACCTCTTTCCCCTCAGTCTAGTTACAAACATGTTACCACATTCTAAAAGATCTTTTTCTTTATGCTCTCACCATTGATTACTTCCCAAGTTTTCATTGTGTTGCAAAAGATAGGGTTTCAGTCATTTTTATGGCTGAGTATTATTCTGTAATGTATATATACCACATTTCATTTATCCAATTATTGGTTGATGGACATCTGCATTGATTCCATATCTTAGCTATTGCTAATTTAGCTTCTATAAACCTGGGGGCATCACACCCCTTTCATTGGCTGATTTCATTCCCTTTGAGTAAATTCCCAGGAGTAGGCTGGCTTGTTCATTGGTATATCTATTTCCAGATTTCTGAGGATTGTCTGTACACTCTGTGATAATAGTTATACCTATTTACATTGCCAACAGTTCATTAATGTATGTTTTTCTCCCATCCTTGCTGCATTTTTAAAAATTTTTGAGTTATAGCCACTCTAACTAGCTTGAGGTAAAATCTCATTGTGGTTTTTATTTGCATTTCCCTGATGGCTAGGTGATCCTGGGCATTTTCCCCCCAAGTTTGGGGGCCAACATTCTGGCATAATGGGTTAGGCTGCTGCCTGCAAGATCAGAATCCCATATGGGCACCAGTTCAAGTAGCAGCTGTACCACTTTCAATCCTTCTCCCTGCTACCATGCCTGGGAAAAGCTCAAAAGATGGCCCAAGTTATTGAGTACTTGTGCCCATGGGGGAGATCCAGAAGAAGCTCCCGGATCCTTGGTTTGTCCCTGTCCAGCTCTAGACATTGTAGTCATTTGGGGACTGAACCAGTGGGTGGAAGATCTCTCTATCTGCATCTATCCCTCTCCCTCTGTAACTCAGCCTTTCAAATAAAATAAATCTTAAAAAAAATAAAAATAAAAACACCCATGTTTGTTCTGTTCTCATTCTGCCATCACTTCCCCAGCCAACCTAGTCCACAGTGGTTTTCTATCACCCATGAATCTCATTATGTCTCTATGTTTCCTAAAGAGCCAAGACCCTGCAGGCATAGCCAGCATGTTATCTGGGTACAGGCACTGTACTGGGCAGCACAGCACTGTTAGGACCACTGCCTTTACAACCATAATTGTGGACAGATCCACATCCCAGCTTGGGTAATTTCTTATAAAATTCAAGTTCTTTCCACATTCTCAAAGTGGTTGCTACTAAAATCTCATTACTTTTTCCCAGTGCTGATTGAAAATAAAAAGCACAAGTTTAAGCATAAAAGAAATAGATAATTTAATCTATTGAAGATAGAGTATAGCATACTTCTGTCCCAGTATTTGGAACCCTGCTGAAAGAGGATGATTTGGGGATTTTAAAGGAGGCTACAAGGAAGGAAGAATCAGGAATAGGGGATCAAAGAATATGGACAGCTGCATGTGAAGTGAACCATGATAGATTCTGGCCCAGTTTATCTTTGCACAGCTTTATCTTGCAGGTGCCTCCTCATTCCACAATGATGACACACTAGCATTCCTCTCCCTGTAATGAAAACCAGAAAGATTATTTTTCCACCAGAATTGTTCAGTCCCATAGCAGGAGGGGAGCCATAGATTAAAACATAGAACCAACCTGAGTGTGTTTATCTTGGTGAGCTAAGGAGATAGTTGTGGAATTATCAACAATGTCTACACAGCATTCTGTTTCAGGGGAGGCATGTTTTCCCCCTAGCAGCTGTAGCTTTAGAGAACTACTTGCCTCAGTAGGAAACTTCTGTTATTTAATAAGCACAGTCCTCTGGCTCTGTCATTTATGACACTTTGAATATAATTGGCCAAGGCTTCAATGTGCCAAATTCAGTCCCCATTCCTAACTGTGGGACAGAGATAGTAAGATCCTACCAGTGGAAGACATAACTGTGAGGCAAGTTTTGGAAACTGGCAGACTTCTGTATGTTTTTCTATTTTCTTTGAATAAAAAGGAGGCCCAGGTACATCATTGCTAACCCAGCAGCAGCCAAGCCCATCAATATTCCCCTTTCAATGCTGTGGATATTTATTCTTGTGCTTCCTCTAAGCTGCAAGGGATGGGAGAGTGCTTTGAGCTCAGCTTTCTGGGCTAAGATACCTTGTGGCAGTGCTATTGATTCTGCAGTTTCTGGGAGAGTTACTACTTCATATCCAACCCTTGATTTTCCTGTCCTGTGAAGCTGTTTTGATACACGAAGAGTTCCCGATCTGTAACCTGTAAGGGGATATCAGTCAGATCCAGCCTAATAAGATGTATCTTACATGACCTATAATCAGTCACATAGTTTCCTCAGGGGAGTCTGAGGGCAAGGTGGATGGATTAAAATATGATTCAGTTTTACAGGACCATTTCAGTTATCAAATAGTACAGGTTAGTTTTTACCATAGGGCCTGAAGTAAGCAGTAAGATCCTTGTTGTTACAGAAGCGGCAGCACATAGTAAGCTGTATGCACTGTGGTGAGATGACCAAAAGTGAGCTCTGTCTCCTGCAGTACTTCACAAGTGGCTGTTATTCTCAGACACCGCAGCCAGTTTTTGGTGGAATGTCCACATTTTTAAATGTATACCATTGGTCATTTTATTTTCCCCAAATTTTGAGTCATTCCTTCCAGTCCTAATCCTTGCTTCTCATGTACAAAGAGGTCAAAGCCCTTTCTCAACACCTCCCTAGGTGTGCTGTAGGTGCTGTCTATAGAATCTAGCACTACATGTGAGGATGGCAGGTATCACTTCTAGTTAGCATCTCTCTTTTGAAATTGGGGTACTCTTTAATGGGTATAGTTCTATCAGAGTCTTTTGTGACAGTGACTACCAGGCAACCACACATAATGACCCTCCCTTTAAAACCTCTTGGCTTTAACCTAATTTTGTTTAGGATTAAAACCTGTGATTCCATCTTGATATTTATTTCCTCTTTGTGATCAAGATCTTTTGGGGGGCACAACGCTGATCAGCCATCCTGCAGCTAAATTTTACTTATCCCTCATTGCCCAGTTAGATTTGACCCAGCTATTGATCTGCTGCCATGTTGGAAGGGAAGTCATGACCAGGAGGCATTTTCAAAGAACAATTTTGTCCCAATTTGAGCAACAGAGAGGTTAAACAAGTGGCTCTCAAACTAAATTTACCTGAAGTCCATTGTTAAACTTACTTTTGTTTATTCTGTAGGTGCAAATCATCACCTCAAAGTGCCAGGCATTATCCTGCTGAGAATTGTACTTCTGTAGACTTCTTACAGGCAGTAGGCACACAACTCAAATAGGAAAACACCAAGCACAAGATAAATCAGGTTGACATCTTAAAAATAGTGAATAGAGATACAATCAAATAGTAGACATGATAACTGACAATTCATGTAAGTACAGCATGAAAGGTTGAGTATCCATGTTAGTCTCAGACCCAGAAAACTCTCCAAGTTAGCAGTCTAAAAACAATGAACAGAGTTACAGTCTACAAGCAGGTATGTTATAGTTTGTGGATTGGCTATTTGCCTTAAATACAGTAACTAAATTTCCTTTGACATATAATCTCACACTTGGAAAATTCTCCAAGTTAAAAGGCAAATCTATGACAAAACTAGATTTTTTTAAAGCTACAGTGTCTAGTATTTTGAAATTTTTGGATCTGCTAAAATATTCGAGAAGTCCATTTACTCAGTGCAAGACTGAAGACCCTACAAGCCAGGCATTTTATGCATGAGATTTAGATATGCCAATGTTTCCAAATATATTCTGTTATTGGAACAGATTCTGATGAATTCATGAAGACAATCACATTGCCCCCCCCCACATATACCATATTTATAAAAATTTTTGAATGTTAGAGCAATTAAGTGGAGGGAGTAGAAAGTAAACACTTCTTCTCTGGTTACAGAACAACACTTTACCAAAATACAGTAAACCACTGAAATCACGGGAACAGTTTTCCTGAACCTAGAAGGTGAAACATTGAAATATTAGAACCAACAACACTTTAAATGAAAGATGGAAATCCCCAGATGTCATTAATTCATTTAGTCTGATTAACTTTTGTCCTGTTTTACATTAGATACTTTCTAGGTGTTCCAGGATTTTCCCCCCAAGTTTTGGACATTCTTACCTATTCCGTTGATTTTAAAGCAGTCTGAAATCTGTATTTAAGAACACTGCTTAGGGTTTTAGAGAAGAATCAGAATTGTTGATACAATGTCTCAGAACATATCTGACAGGTTTATGAAACTGTCCCTATTCAATCTCTGGGCCAGTGATGGGAAGGAGTCCCTCAAAGTAACTGTTCAAAATAAGGACACTTTTCATTGTGAAATAATATCCACCCACTTAGAGTGAGTTAATCAGTTACAGGCCTGATGTAGTCATACTTATAGTGATCACCAAATATTGGAAAATGAGTAAACACCCAAAGCAATCTTCCTTATTAACACTCAGCTCTTTGCAAACAATGAGAATTCAACACAGAAAGCAAAGAACACAAGAAATTACCTTAGTGAAACACAAGTGGTTTTCTTGGCCAGGTACCAAGGGGGTAAAACCACTAGTATAGAAATCAAGTTATCCTGTCATCTAGGATTTTAAGATAAAAATTTGCTGTCCAATCATACTAGAGTCAGAACTGGGGAGGAAAAGAGCATGCAGGAACTGACCTGAAAGCCACGGAATAAAGTCCGCAATTAAACTACATTCTAGAAGATGGCCAAAATGATGAAAGGAAAACAGATTAAAAGAACCGTGGTACAGCTGGCAGTGATGCGCAGTGGCTGAAGCAGCCACCTGCAATGCTGGCATCCCATATGAGCAGCAGTTCAAGTTCTGTTACACTTCTGATTCAGCCCCCTGCTAATGGTCCTGAGAAAGCAGCAGCAGATGGCCCATGTACAGTGGCCTCTGCACCCATAAGGGAGAGCCAGCGGAGTTCTAGGGTCTTAGCTTTGGCCTGGCCCAGCCCTGGCCTTTTCAGCCATTTGGGAAAGTGAATCATCAGATGGAAGTTCTCTCTTTCTCTTTTACTCTGTCTTTAACATAAATATTTTTGAAACCACAAAAACAAAGATGGAACATAATATATGAATTTCCCCAGGGCAACAAGTGGCTCTGGCAGCTGCTGGGATTGTCCCTGTTTCCCCCAGAAGGCAAAACCTCAAAAGCAGGGACTGTTAACACCGACTGAAGTGGCCTCTCCCTCCTCCAACAGCTTGAGTGGGTACACCTTGGTGCATTGCCACAGCCAATTGTTCTATCCATCTATCCATTGGCACCTGGCAGCAACAAGGGTGTGAACATATCTGCCACATTTGCCAAAATTTTCCATTTCTGAATGTTCTTGGTTCCTGTTTCCAGTGCTCAGTCAAAATACTGATAAGATGTGAGGGTAGGAAAAGATACCGTTCAGTCTATCAACAGATGAGGGGGTAGAAGACTTCTAACTCCAGAACTACCAATGTGCTGGATAAGGGTGTTTTGGAATTTTTAAAAGGAGGCTGTAAGAAGGTGGGAGTCAGAATATTAGGAGAGTAGAATAGGGACAGCTGTATGTTGTTCTTCAGCTGGGCAATAAGGGGCTGGCTGGAGTCACAGTGGTTATCTCATCTAGTAACAGGCTCAGATCATGCTGAAGTTCCTCACTAGTCAGTAATGCCAAACTCTTCAGACCAGGGTTTGGATGGCCAGTGGGCTTCAGTGCTTTTTGCTCTGGGCCTAAAATTCCCCTAAATGAAACTCCTTGAGTCTATTCCAGTCATTAAGGTGCTATCTGATTATAACCTTCCAGGGCTGGCTATTAAAGTCCCTCAATTCAGTGAGTTAATGTAAGGAAGGAAGGCTAGAGACAGGGGTCTGATGGTATAAAAATTCAATGCATTATTTAGGGTCTCAGTTTCAGCTGTAATAAAAGAATTAAGCTGTGAGAAGATGTGCTGAAACACTAAGGATATACAAATATTGATTTTTAAATTCCTTATGTATCTTTCTGTCCACGTCACATTTGTAATTGATTACAAATCAGACTTGACAGATTTAAGCTTTGTTGGGAAAGAACTTCAAGGAGCTATGGCTCTTCTAAATAGATAATAAATAAATAAATCTTCTTTAAAAGAACTTAGAAGCTACATAGATGCCACAGATTAAAATAGGAAGTTAATTAATGTCTCTTCAAGGTCTCATTATTTCCAGACAGGGTATTTTCAGGCTTGTGTGTTTCCTTTAGTATCATACATAAACACACTTCAGTTCAAACTGTAGCAAGTCTAGAAAGCTGGATGAGTTTTAACAATCCACTGATCACCGAGAAAGCACAAAAAGCTGACTGGTGTCAGAGTGAAAGAAACAGACTGTTCTTTTTCCCAATCTGCTGTGGGTAAAGCAAAGAGGTGTTCAGAGCCTCAGACATTTCAGTCCTAAGACCCTTGAGATTCCAGCCACCATTAACAGAAGTTCGGATACCAAATCTTTAAAACTCCATGAAGATGATCAAAGATGCATTTCTTAGCCATCCTCGCTTAACTCTAATTCTATTTTCAAACAAATCTACATTTATGCAAAATAAACATCTTATGAAATTTAACCTTCACTTGTGATAAGAATTTAAAAAACTACTGTGATCAAGGAACTTCCTCCATGTAGCTGAGGTGGACACTTGAGAGTGTGGCGACAGTCGTTTCTGTCTCTTAGTATTCTCAAGTTGTGTAAGCTTCTGCTGAGTGTGAGCATGATCTGTGACTTCCCTCTGATGATTACAGTATGGGAATTGTGAAGAGTTTTGAAGATGTTTTACAATTCCAAAATCATTAATTAAAAAAAGTTAGTACAAAAGTAGGTTATAATGGATTATCCAGATTTAAAAATCATAGGTGACAAACTGTCTTTCCTGAATGAACAAAGTGATTGGAGGTAGTCCTCAAGGTCAAGAACTGGGACTAGCCACTAGGAATGGACTCAGACAAAATATGAGATTACAATTGCATGTGACTTTGAGAAAGTAATTTTGTGATGATGTTATACATCAATAGAATACTAATTCACTAATAAAGACTATCTACAAAAATCAAACAAAACAAAAATCCCAAATACAACATATATATACTATTTCCCTTTGAAATTTCAATGATACATTAATACCTATAATATTCACTTTTTCTCATTATTGTTCTAGGAGTAGGAGCAGAAAAATAAAATAAAATAAAAATAAAATAAAATAAAATACCTCCAGGAACTGGTAGGAAACAAACTGTCAATATATAGAACCCTTGGGGGAAAAAAAAGCCCATGGATTTATACTGATAGAAGTAAAAAAATATGTTGAAAATTTGAGAGCTCTTAAAATGCTGCACTGAGACCACATGCATTAAGGAAGCTTGTCTGTCGGTTCCAAGATTTCAGAATTGGCAGGGAGCTTACTGATCTAGCCCAGATGAAGATAGTTTAATAAAAGTGGAGATAGTGTAGTCTAAGGGAAGAGTCAGGGAAAAAATGGCAGAGGAAACTCTTCTGTAATTAGAGGGACACAGTGGACCTACATGGAGGGCTTGGGCACCCATAGCTTGGAATTCAAATAGCTGAGAGGCTAGGCACCAGCACTGGAAAGTGAGGTGAGATGAGACTGCAGTAGCCTGAGACACTGGCCAACAAGCAGCAGGAAGGGCCTAGAGGGAATGAGGCTTGAAGCCCTGTGGGGGAAAGTACACTAGCCTAACTAGAGGAGATAAAAAATAAAAGGGAGAGTACAGACACATTTCTCTCAAATCACCTTACAAAGACATAGGAGCCAACAGAGTAAGCGCCATTTTGGACATATGTAACAGCTGTTCCAGCTCTGGGCTGCAACCAGCAATCAGCTGAGTGGAGACTCGACTCTGGTAGGGAGAAATAACAGGCGGCTAGGAACTTGTGACTGTGTGATGCTTCTGAACTGGGACTGTGGGAAAAAAAACCTGAGGGTGTGTGGGAGAACTCAAGGTGTGGCTGAGACTTTGAGTCTCATTGGCAGATGCTGCAAGCTCAGACAGCTCTGGTTACCCGGGAGAGACATTGCAGGGGAATATGAACTTACACTGAGGACTGAACAGATCCTTTGCGTGGTCCTTGGAACAGAGCAGATGAATATTATGCCCAATCGTGCTAGCACTCAGGCACTGATTGCCATCGAGGAGAAGAGCTCAGCTGAGCAGAATTGCTTCCCATTTGATTAAAAAATAAAAGGGAGGGAAGATTTACCATGCCAAACCTGGGGGTGTCACCTTAGGCATGCCCTTAATCTTGAAAAACTGAACAGAGATCTCTGGCCACACACACCACAAGCCTCTAGAGATTCAGACAGTCCAATTATCTACAAAGTCATTGTAAAACAATAAAAGGCACTGAAGTGGGGGGGGGGAGAAGAAGAAATCAATGAGTATCTCCACAAATGCCAAACCACAATTGGAACAATCCAAAAAATAAGAATAAGGAAGACAATATGATACTCCTAAAAGAACATGACACTTGGCCAGTGCCGTGGCTCACTAGGCTAATCCTCCACCTGCGGCATTGGCACTCCGGGTTCTAGTCCTGGTTGGGGTGCCGGTTCTGTCCTGGATGCTCCTCTTCCAGTCCAGCTCTCTGCTGTGGCCCGGGAAGGCAGTGGAGGATGGCCCAAGTGCTTAGGCCCTGCAACCACATAGGAGAACAGGAGGAAGCACCTGGCTCCTGACTTCGAATCGGCACAACATGCTGGCCATAGTGGCCATTTGGGGGGTGAACCAATGGAAGGAAGACCGTTCTCTCTGTCTCTGTCTCTCTCTCACTGTCTAACTTTGCCTGTCAAAAAAAAAAAAAAAGAACATGACACTTCAATACAAGATTATGAAGTCGATGAGAAAGAAGAAATGCAATAAATGGAACTCAAAAATTTGATGATTAGAATACTTAGAAGTAATCAAAAACAAATGCATGGACTACTGAAATCCATGCAGGACATGAAAGAAAATCTCTCTCAAGAAAATGAAATCTTTGGAAGAATCAAAATGAAATGAGGAATCCAATAGAACATGGAATTGAGATATTGAAGAGAAATCAAAATGAAATGAAGAATTCAGAAGAACAAATAAAACATACAGTTGAGAGTCTTAAAAACAGAATCAGTGAGGCAGAAGAGAGAATATCAGACTTAGAAGACAGAGCACAGCAAAGTATACAGTCAAACCAAAGACAAGAAGAGGAAATTAGAAATCTAAAAAATATTACTGGGAATCTACAGGATACTATTAAAAAACCCAACATTTGGGTTCTGGGACTTCTTGAAGGCACGGAGAGAAAAAGGATTAGAAGGCCTTTTTAGTGAGATACTAGTAGAAACCTTCATAAGTTTGGAGAAAGAAAGAGACCTCAAGTACAGGAAGCACACAGAACTCCCAATAGACAGGACCAGGACAGATACTCTCCATGACACATTGTAATCAAACTCACCACAGTGAAACATAAAGAAAAGATTCTAAAATGTGCGAGAGTATTGCCAGATTACCATCAGAGAATCTCCAATTAGACTCACAGCAGACTTCTCATCAGAAACCCTACAGGCTAGGAGGAAATGGCGAGATATAGCCCAAGCACTAACAGAAAAAACTGCCAGCCCAGAATGTTATATCCTGCAAAGCTCTCATTTGTGAATGAAGGTGAAATAAAGACCTTTCATAGCAAACAGAAATTGAAAGAATTTGTCACCACTCATTCAGCCCTGCAAAAAATGCTTAAAATGTGTTACACACAGAAACACTGTCATCAACATGAAAGAAGGTAAAGGAAAAAAAAATCTCTCAGTAAAAGATTACAGGAAGTTCAAATATATATTAGAAATATCTTTGGAAAAATGATAGGGCAAGTCACTACTTACCAATAGTCATAATGAACGTAAATAGCTTCAACTCTCCAGTCAAAATTTGCAGACTGGCTGAATGGATTAAGGAACAAAACCCATCTACTTGCAGCTTACAAGAAACACATCTTTCCAACAAAGGTGCATACAGACTGAAAGTGAAAGGTTGGCAAAAGATATTCCATGCCAACCAAAATGAAAAATGAGCTGGCATAGCCATCTTAATATCAGACAAAATAGACTTTAACAACAAAACTGTTAAAAGAAAACAAAAAGGGACACTATATAATGATTAAGGGATCAATCCAACAGGAAGATGTAACTATTATAAACATTTATGCACATAGTTACAGGGCACCGGGATATTTAAAAGATATGTTAAGAGACTGAAAGGAGACTAAGACTCCAATACAGTAGTAGTGGGGGAATTCAATACTTCACTTTCAGCAAAGGACAGATCAACCAGACAGAAAATCAACAAAGAAACAGTAGATTTAATTGACATATAGACCAAATGGATCTAACAGATATCTATAAAACTTTTCATCCTGCACTTAAAGAATATAAATTCTTCTCAGCAGTACATGGAACCTACTCTAGGACTGACTACATACTAGGCCATAAAGCAAGTCTTAGCAAATTCAAAAGAATCAAAATCATACATGCATCTCTCAGACCACAATGGAATAAAGCTAGAAATCAGCAACTCAGGAATCTCCAGAGCATATGCAAGCACACGGAGACTGAACAACATGCTCCAAATTGAACAGTGGGTCATACAGAAATCAAAAAGAGAAATCAAAACTTTCTGGAAGTAAATGATAACAATACAACATATCAAAATTTATGGGATACAGCAAAAGCAGTGTTAAGAGGAAAGTTTATATCAATAGGTGCCTACATCAAGAAATTGGAAAGCACCAAATAAATGAGTTATCAATGCATCTCAAGGATCTAGAAAAACTGCAGCAAACCAGAAACTAGTAGAAGAGAAATAATTAAAATTAGAGAGGAAATCAACAGGATTGAATAAAAAAAAATTACAAAAGTTCAGCAAAATTAAGAACTGTTTTTTTGAAAAAATAAACAAAACTGACACCCCATTGGCCCAACTAGCTTAAAAAAAAAGACCCACATCAATAAAATCAGAGATGAAAAAGGGAATGTCATAACAGACACCACAGAAATAAGGAGTCATCAGAAATTACTACAAAGAGTTGTATGCCAACAAGCAGGGAAATCTAGCAGAAATGGATAGATTGCTGGACACATACAACCTACCTAAATTGAACTATGAAGACACAGAAAACCTAAACAGACTCATAAGCAAGTCAGAAATTGAATCATTAATAAAGGCCCTCCCTACAAAGAAATGCCAAGGACCAGACGAATTCACTGCTGAATTCTACCAGACATTTAAAGAAGAACTAACTCCAATTCTCCTCAAACTATTTAAAACAATTGAAAGAGAGGGAATCCTCCCACATTCTTTCTATGACACCAGAATCACCTCAATTCCTGAACCTGAAAAAGATGCAGCCAAGAGAATTACAGACCAATTTCCCTGATGGATAGAGGTCAAAATCCTCAATAAATTTCTGGCTAATAGAATGCAACAACACATCAGAAAGATCATCCACCCAGACCAAGTGGGATTTATCCCTGGTATGCAGGGATGGTTCATCGTTCGCAAATCAATCAAGGCGATACACCACATTAACCAACTACAGAAGAAAAACCATATGATTATCTCAATAGATGCAGAGAAAGCATTCGATAAAATACAACACCCTTTCATGATGAAAACATAAACAAATTGGGTATAAAAGGAACATTCTGCAACACAATCAAGGTAATTTATGAAAAATCCAAGGCTGATACCATATAGGGAAAAGTTGGAAACATTTCAGATCTGTTACTAGCAGGGATGCCCACTCTCACCATTGCTATTCAGTTTAGGACTGGAAGTTTTAGCCAGAGCCATTAGGCAAGAAAAAGAAATTAAAGGGATACAAATTGGGAAGGAAGAATTAAAATTATCCTTCTTTGCAGACAATGTGATCCTTTATTTAGGGGATCCAAAGAATTCCTCTAAGAGACTATTGGAACTCATAGAAGAGTTTGGCAAAGTAGCAGGATATAAAATCAATGCACAAAAATCAACATCTTTTCTATAAACAGACAATGCCATGGCTGAGAAAGAACTTCTATCTATCTCATTCAAAACAGCAACAATAAAAAAGCAAATACCTTGGAAAAAAGTTAGCTAAGGATATCAAAGATGTCTATGATGAGAATTACAAAACTTTAAAGAAAGAGAAGAGGATACCAAAAAGTGGGAAAATCTTCCATGCTCATGGATTGGAAGAATCAATATCATCAAAATGTCCATTCTTCCAATAGCAATTTATAGATTCAATGCAATACCAATCAAAATACCAAAGATATTCTTCTCAGATCTGGATAAAATGATGCTGAAATTCACATGGAGGCACAGGAGACCTCGAATAGCCAGAGAATCTTATACAACAAAAACAGAGCCAGAGGCATCACAATACCAGATTTCGAGACATACTACAGATTACAGGGCAGTTATAATCAAAACACCACGGTACTGATATAGAAACAGATGGCAAGACCAATGGAACAGAGTAAAAATACTAGACATCAGTCCAAACATCTACAACCAACTTATATTTGATCAAGCAGCTAAAACCTATTCCTAGAGCAAGGACAGTCTCTTCAACAAATGGTGCTGGGAAAACTGGATTTCCACATGCAGAAGTATGAGGCAAAACCCCTACCTTACACCTTATACAAAAATTCAGTTAACATGGATTAAAGATCAAAACCAAAACCTGGAACCATCAAATTATTAGAGAACATCGGAGAAACTCTGCAAGATATAGGCACAGGCAAAGACTTCTTGGAAAAGCCCCTAAAGGCACAGGTAGACAAAGCCAAAATTAACAAATGGGATTACATCAAATTGAGAAGTTTCTGTACTGCAAAAGAAAAGGTCATTAAAGTGAACAGGCAATCAACAGAATGGGAGAAAATAATTGCAAATTATGCAACTGATAAAGGATTAATAACCAGAATCTACAAAGAGATCAAGAAACGCCACAACAACAAAACAATCCATTCAAGAGATGGGCCAAGGACCTCAATAGACATTTTTCAAAAGAAGAAATCCAAACAGCCAACAGACACATGAAAAAATGATCAGGATCACTAGCCATCAGGGAAATGCAAATCAAAACCGCAATGAGGTTTCACCTCACCCCAGTTAGAATGGCTTATGTACAGAAATCTACCAACAACAGATGTCGGTGAGGATTTGGGGAAAAAGGGACACTAACCTGCTGTTGGTGGGAATGCAAACTGGTAAAGCCACTATGGAAGTCAGTCTGGAGATTCCTCAGAAACCTGAATATAACCCTACCATACAACCCAGCCATCCCACTCCTTGGAATTTACCCAAAGGAAATTAAATTGGCAAATAAAAGAGTTGTCTGAACCTCAATGTTTATTGAAGCTCAATTCACAATAGCTAAGACATGGAATCAACCCAAATGCCCATCAACAGTAGACTGGATAAAGAAATTATTTGATATGTACTCTGTAGAATACTACTCATCGATAAAAAAAATGAAATCCAGTCATTTGCAACAAAATGGAGGAATCTGGTAAACACCAGGCTGAGTGAATTAATCCAGTCCCAAAGGGACAAATATCATATGTTCTCCCTGATCTGTGACAACTAACCAAGCACCTACATAGAAAATGGTGGAAGTGAAACTGACACTATGAGGAACAGTGATTTGATCAGCCCGTGTCCTTACTGTCAAGGAAAAACTTACTATTTTATTCTTTTTAGTATTTTCTTTTTCTACTTAATACCATTGATCAATCTCTTTATTTAACACACAATTATTCTTAGCAGTTAGAATCCAACTGAAAATTTATGCCTGTTAAAAATAAGAATGGCAATGAGAGGGAAGAGATGTGCAGTTCGGCAGAGGCTCACTTGAACTTACCCCTAAAGGTAAAGCTAAAAACGTGCTATGGACTCCAAATCCCATTAAGTTGGCAGGTACCAATGCCATCTTACTAGTTAAAGTGATCAGTTTACGTTCATAATTAATCATAAAGATAGTATTAAGTGTCAAAGGGATCACATAAATAAGACCAGTGTCTGCTAATAATACTTGATAGAATTAAAAAGGAGAGAATGACTCAACATGGGAAGCAGTATACAGTATACACAGCAGACTCATACAATGGCAAATGCCCTAAACAGCACTCTGGCCTCAGAATCAGCCCTTAAGGCATTCAGATCTGGCTAAAAATCTCATGATAGTTTCTCAGGCATGGAAAGCCAAGACACTGTGGCAAAAAATGACCTAAATGAAAGATCACTGTGAGTGAGAGCCCAGCAGAAACAATGGGCCATCAAAGAAGGAGGTACCTTTCTCTGAACGGAGGGGAGAATTTCCACTTTGATTATGGTCTTGTCTAAATAAGGTCTGGGGTTTTTGAACTCAAGAGGCTTCCATAACCTTGACAGCTCATGACAAGAGCCTCAGGTTATTACTGATGTCATAAATGTAAGAGTATCAATTGTTAAATCAAAAACAAGAGTCCCTGTGCACTTACTCCCCATGTAGGATCTGTGTTTAATGTGTTGTACTATGAGAATTAATGGTAAAAATATTTTTCAAACAGTACTGTATACTTTGTGTGTCTGTGTGGGTACAAATTGTTGAAATCTTTACTTAGTATATACTAAGTTGATCTTCTGTATATAAAGATAATTAAAAATAATCTTAATGAAGAATGAGATGGGAGAGGGAATAGGAGGTGGGATGATTTTTGGATGGAAGGGTGGTTATGTGGGGAAAAACAGCTATAATCCAAAAGTTGTACTTTCAAAATTTATATTTATTAAATGTTTTCTAAAAAATAAAAAACATAAAAATTGAATCATAAAAAATTGAGAAAGAACAGATATTTAGTCTCAAATGACGAAACCTGATTAAAACTAAGTGAAATGTAAAAGAGGGAACACTACACAGGAGAAATGCAACAGACAGCATCAGCAACATCACTAGTAATGGGAGAAATCAAAAGTGTAGGTTACATGACAGTATGCAATGATCACAGAATCCCTTCTGTTATGCCCTTAACAAAAAGTGTATAATCCTAACCTAATTATACTGAAATATCAGAAAATATCCAATCAGGGACATTCTGCATGATTGGAATTTAGTCTTCAAAAGATCCATGGTCATTAATGTCAAAGAAAAGGAAGGAACTCCTCCAGACTGAAGAAATCTAAGAAAGGCAACAACTAAAAGAAATTCATGGATCTGAGTGGGACTCTCTTATTATCAAGGACATCACAAGACATGTAACAAAACTGGAAAAAAATCTGCAGATACACAGAATAATGTTAACTTTGTGATTCTGAGTGTTTTATTGTATTTAGTATGTCCTTAACTATAGGAAATATATTCCAAAGTAGTCAGAGGTGATGGCATAATGTCAGCAGATGACTCTCACTTTCTTTAAGAGGGCAAATTATTTGTACTAAAACTTATTTTTTTTTTAAATTTTAAGACTGTTTCCTAAAAGGTAATAAAAATTAAAAAGGAAACATGGAAAGCCATAGGTAAACATAATTTCTCCATGAAGAAGGTGTATGAATCAATGCCTAAAGTTAAAATTACATAATTTTGGTAGCACTATAAAATTATATTGCATCCAAGCAATGGTATTGACACTGGCCAGAGTATCAGTGTACCAAAATGATGTCTATCCAAATCATTAGGTTTGTATGTAGTAGCAAAAATTGGCAAATACAAAGAAGCCCTTAATTAATCCCATTAAAGTATTCAATTCAACTTGGTTTTCTGGGTGCTGTATAATGGCCACCATTTGGACAATTGAGTTTGTAAAAGTTAATCATACTGCTTTTCATTTGCAAAATCTGTGCTAAGTTAGTTATACATCCCAACAAACAGTTTCATGTGCTGCAACTGGCCTGCCATTGGGAACAGAAGTTAAGGTGCCGTTTGAAATATCCTGAATCCCTGGTGGAATCCCTAGCAAGACCAGGCTCCCATCCTGATTCCAGCTTCCAATAATGTGTACTCTGGGAAGTGGCGAGTGATAGAACAAGTAATTGGATCCTTGCCACATAAGTAGGATACCTGAATTGAATTCCTGGATCCTGGCTTCAGCACAGCCCACCTATATTTCACTGCAGATATATGGGTACTGTACTATTGGAAGGGGGATCTCTCTGTTTTCCCCCTCTTTTCCCCTTTCCCTTTTTCTTGCTCCCTCCCTTACCACTATCTCTATCTTTCAAAAAATATAAATTGGAAATACAAAATTTCAATTGTAGATACATAACACTAAATGTTTCAGTTAATGAAGATTTTCCCACATAATATATTTAAAAAGAAATAACAGGTGTGTTCCATAAGCAGTGGTCAGTAAAATTTTATAATATAAAGAGCATAAGTAAATGGTAAATGTGTTACATAGCAGTGGTCAGTAATTGTTTGTAATACAGAGCATATTTTTTCTTTAAAATGTGTACATATTCTTTTGACACTTTTAAAAATACACGTTGACTTAAACTGGACTCGTTGGTTCCTAGGTCACTTTTTAAGTTCCTCAGTAGCTGGAAAAAAAAAGAAAGAATTCCATTTTTTAATATCAAAGATGTCATAATTAACTTCTTAAATCAGTACAAGTTGATAATTTCAAGAAAAATTTGTATATATTACTAAAGTACAAAATTAATATTAGATATAATTTGTCTATATTTACACAATGGAATTATTACTGTGAGTTAAATATCAGTGATCCTGTATTTTTCTTCTTTTTCATTCTTTCCTCAGCTTAACAATGTGATTAAAGATGAAGATAATACTGTCCATCTCTAAATAACCATATGCTATGTCTAAAAATATAGATGAAGGGGCCAGAGCTATGGCAGAGAGGGTAAAGCCACCACATCCCATTTGGGCACCAGTTCAAGTCCCAGCTGCTCCACTTCTGATCCAGCTCTCTACTATGGCTGGGAAAGCAGAAGATGACCCAAGTCCTTGGGCCCCCGCACCTGCATGGGAAGACCCAGAGGAAGCTCCTGGCTCCAGCCATGATGGCCAATTGGGGAGGGAACCAGTGGATGGAAGACCTCTCTCTCTCTCTCTCTCTCTCTCTCTCTCTCCCTCCCTTTCTGTGTGGAACTGTAACTTTTAAATAAATAAATACATCTTTAAAAATATAGATGAGGAGGCAACTTCCCTATGGGGATAGGAATAAAGTAGGGCACTATCATAACACACACAGAAGAGAAATTGTTTCTAATTTTATGTCATTACTGCAGGTTTTTTTAGTGGCAGTGGCATGGAAGTTGACAATACAAGGAAAATGTATACCTGATAGATGGAAAGCAGACTGAATGCAAAGAGATAGAGCTCAGGAAGAGAACTTGTGGTATCATAAGTAGGCTGGTTAGTCTTGACAAATGGATTTGTGTTTTTGTTCCTTGCTAAGGATTTTGGAAACTTTCTTGAGGGTAAAAGTAAATGAGCCCAGATGTTAAGTCTACTGTCAAGCAGCTGCTTATGAACTGTCATTGCTTGACTGGCTATGACAAGGACTTGAGATGGCCCTTATGTCACTACGATGCACTTAAGAAGCTGATGATGCCACTGTCTTCTGAAAACAGCTTTCGTAGGTAGGCTGACAGTATCACAGAGACAGCAGAAGCGTACAAAGTGTAGAGTCAGAAAAAGAGAGGTCCATGAACCTTTTTGAGATATTTTTAAGCTATGGGATATGAAGACTATATAATAAATATATTCCTCATTATAATGCTGATATGTTCACATAGTTCATTAGCTTTATCTAAAGTAGTGAACCAAAAATAAAAAGGGATGCCACTTGCTACTTACAGTTTATGTCATAAATCAATGCATTCACAAAATTTGACAACATACCTCCATCTCGTTTGCTACTTAAATTGTGTTGTGCTTTCCACATCTGAAATAAGGCAAATTTTATGTATAATATTTAAGTTAAACTAGTTACATTATCATGGGAATAAAGTATCAGTTAAAAATATGGTCCTTAATTCTTTTAAAGACTAGACCAAACTTGAAGATGGCTTAAATAGAAAAACAGTCACATTTATTAAACAAAATTCCTAGTGATTTTATGTTAACCCAATAGGGAAATATGATTAAAAAGTACATTTAGCATTAATCTGTTTCATACATATTATTTTAGAAAGGTGGCATTTAATTAGTACAAAGGTTAAAACAAGTCAAGTCAGATTTTACAATAAATGAATGACTTTGTACTTACTAGAACAACTCTGTACTTTATAAAAGATGATTTTTTTCACTTTCATGTGTTTCCATAAACTGAATTTTCCATTACCCACTTCTAGAAAAACTAATTTTTAAGTATTACATGGTATTTTCATCATGGAATATTAAGCAAATAAGTAAAGAAAGTGGTATTGTCATAATGTCATGTAAAAATTCTACTGGGAAAACATTAAATAAAAAAACCATCCTGTGTATATTATAACACAACAGTACTGTATTCATATGGACACGAGTATTCAGAAAATTCTAATTTTCAAATTCAATTGTTAGATGCATGACTTTCTAGAATGAGAAATAAGGAAACCAATGTATAACTCTTTTAATTTTCATTTCTTTTAGGAAGTTAGCAATGGGGCATGCATTGTAGACCAGCAAGGTAAGCAGCTTCTCTGATGCCAGCATCCTATATTAAGGCATCGACTGCTCCGCTTTCATTGCAGCTCTCTGATAAAGCACCTGGGAAAGCAGCGAGAGACAGCCTGAGTGGGCCCCTGACACCCATGTAGGAGACCTGGGTGGAGTTCCAGGCTCTGGCTTTGGCCAGGCCCAGCCCTGTCCATTGTGTCCATTTGGGGAGTGAAGAAGCAAATGAACCTCTCTGTCTCTCCCTCCCTCTCTCCATCTCTGCCTTTAAAATACATGTTGTAAAAATGTAGTCAAATTTTGAAACATTTGTTTTTTAAGTTTGATCATATTTTTAAAAAATTATTTAATACAAACACATTTCATACAATTCACAAATACAGTTCTAAGAAGTTATTAATTTTAATTATCCACTTAATTATGAAATGTGAAGAAATATTTCAAAATATATTGCAGCTGTCTCTAGAATATTCTTACTTAAATATTTTATATAAAAGTTATTATCTAATAAAATATTCCAACAGGCTTTAAATACTCCTCCTACACACACATGACATAATAAATAGTTGATGGAGATCATGATAAAGTAATATAAATACCTTTATTCTGGCATGAAGAAAAAATTTTGTTGACTCCTATATTGTTCAATGTTCTGAAAAGATCTTCCCCATGAAGTTGAGGTGTCAAGATCCTGAAGGGCAAACTTTAGAAATTGAACAATGTGTCAACAGCATCACCAAGTAGAATATGGGGGGGGGGAGGAGAATAACTCACTACAATATGTTGGAAAGAACAGTTACTGGTAGAATCTTATGTTATCATAAATAAAAATTACATAAAGTATAAATCGCATTCTTACATAATTTGAATGAAGGAACTACCAATGTAATATTATTTTCCTCAATAGTCCTCCTATATATATTTCCTATGTATAATAGATGATATTATCTTATATTACACTCAAAAATATTTAATAGTATATGTTTTACATAGAAAAAATGAGATGTCCTGCTTGAAAAGTTCCTTACTTTCATGTTAAAGAAACTGTAACTTTATAGAGAACATTTTTGTAAAGCAATTTCAGCAAGATCATATGTGTTTTTAGATGACATGATTTATGTGGACAAACCTAAACACTCCACCAAAAAGCTGTTAGAATTGATAAACCAATTCAGTAAAGTTGCAAGTTACAAAATAAATATACAAAATCAAGTGCTTTTTCTAGGTTAATGATGAACTCACAGAAAAAGAAACCAAGAAAGAAATTTCATTCACTGTCAACAAAGAAAAAAGAAATTTCATTCACAATAGGCACCAAAAAATCAACTGTTTAGGAATAAATTGAGCCAAAGAAGTGAAAGGTGTATACTATGAAAAGTATCAAACATTGAAGAAGAGGTCATTAAGGACTCCAAAAAACGGATACCACTTGCTCATGGATTGAAAGATTCAAAATCATTAAAATGTCTATTCTATATAAGCAATCTACAGATTCAGTGCAATCCCTATCAAACTACCAATGACATTCTTTACAAAACTAGAAAAAGCAATCCTAAAATTTGTATGGAATCACAAAAGACCCAGAATAGTGAAAGCAATCCTGAATGAGAAAAGTCAAGCTGGAGGCATCTACCTGACTTCAAAGCATACTACAAAGCTATAGTGATCAAAGCAGCATAGTACTGGCATAAAAACCAATACATCTCTGCGAGTGAGTTCCCATTGGAAAGAACAGATCATCAAAGAAGGAGGTACTTTTCTCTGAAGGGAGGAGAGAACTTCCACTTTGACTATGACCTTGTCTAAATATGATCAGAGTTGGTGAACTCAAAAGGCTTCCATAGCCTTGGCAACTCATGACAAAGCCTAGGGTGATTACTGATGCCATAAACAAGAGTGTCAATTTGTTAGATCAACAACAGGAGTCACTGTGCACTTACTCCTCATGTAGGATCTCTGCCCTTAATGTGCTGTACATTGTGATTTAATGCTATAAATAGTACTCAAATATTACTTTATACTTTGTTTTTCTGTGTGGGTGCAAACTGATTAAATCTTTACTTAATTTATACTAAATTGATCTTCTGTATAAAAAGAAAATTGAAAATGAATCTTGATGTGAATGGAAGGGGAGAGGGAGTGGGAAAAGGGAGGGTTGTGGGTGGGAGGGAAATTACGGGGGGAACCATTGTAGTCCATAAGCTGTACTTTGGAAATTTATATTCATTAAATAAAAATTAAAAAAAACCCAATACATAGAATGATGGAACTGAACAGAGAGCCCTGAAATTAATCCGCATACATACAAGCCAACTGATTTTTGACAAAAGTGCTCATACCAAACAGAGGAAGTAAGGATAGTCTCTTGAACAAATGGTGCAGGCAAAACTGGATTTATATGTGTACAAGAATGAAATTAGATCCATACCTATCACCATATTCAAAAATAAACTCAAGATGGATAAAAGACTTAAATTTTAGACCTGAGACTATGAAGTTTCTGGAAGAACACATAGAAAAATCACTCCTAGACATTGCTGTAGGGGATGGCTTATTGGATAAGATCCCCAAGCACAGCCAACGAAAGCAGAACTAAATAAATGGGACTATGTCAGACTCAGCAGCTTTTGCACAGCAAAGAAAATAATCAATAGAGTGAAGAGACATCCAAAAGAATGAAGAAATATTTGCAAATCACTTTTCTGACAAAGGATTAATATTCCAGATATATTAGTAACTTTAAAAACTCAAGAATAATAAATAACCCAGTTGAGAAATGGGCAAAGGACTTTAATAGACAGTTCTCAAAAGAAGAAATACAAATGGCCAACAAATATGTGAAAACAGGCTCAGCATCTCAAACCATCAGGGAAATGCAAATCAAAACCACAATGAGCTATCACCTCACCCCTGTCAGAATGGCTAAAATCCAAAACAGAGAGCAACAAGTGCTGGTGAGGATGTAGAGAAAGGGGAACACTTATACACTATTGGTGGAAATATAAATTACTAAGCCCCTGTGGAAAATAGTGTGGAGATATCTGAAAAAAAAAAAAAAACTAGAACTAGATTTGCCATAGGATCCAACAATCCCACATTGGGTATATCTCAAAGACTTGAATACTATTAAGAGATACCTTCATAATTATGTTCATAGAAGCTCTTCACAAGAGCCAACATTGGAAATCAATGAAGCTGTCCACCATCAGAAAAATGGATAAAGAAAATGTGCTAGATATACACAATGCAATATTATTCAGGTATAAAGAAGAGAAGAAAATTCTACCATTTGAAGCCAAATGGATGCCACTGGAGGACACCATGATGACTGAAATAAACCAGACCTAGAAAGACAAATACTGCATGCTCTCCTTTATTTGTAGGGGCTAAAATTAAAAGTAGAATAAAGAAAAAATGTCTGTGTGTATTAGCATTATTGAAAATACTATTTTGTAAACATTTGTTATATATCTTTGTGAAACCAGTGGTTAAATGTGTTCTATTACTCTAGTTTCAATGATCTGTGACTACTTCAAAATTTATTGTACATTATTTTTATACCCATTGTCTATTTTTCCCACTAAACTAGGGTCTTTTGCTTTTTACTTGTTAAACTTCTTATTCTGGGAAGTGTTAAGCCTTTGTACTGTAATGTAAATTTGAAATGTTATCTCAAAAACTAAAAAAAAAGGGGGGGAAGAAAAAGTTTGGGAGGGAGAGATGGGGAGAATGTAAAGGTGGAGGGGAAAGTTATTAGGTCCTTAGGATTACATGTACAAAGTAAAATGAGTCTGTTAAAAACTAATTAAAAGTTAAAATTAAAAAAAACACTTAAAATTTTTAGAAATTTTAATGCAATCAATAAACCCCAGGATTGGGGGGAAAAATGAATACATGGATGGTGTGCATTGTGGTGTGACAGGATGACATCAGAGTATCTAGGGATCAGATCTCATCCATTATTCAAATCCAGCTTCTTACTGGTGTGCCTGCATGGCAGCAGATTATGGCAATGATGCCTGGGTTTATGCTACACTTGTTAGAGACCCAGATGGAGTTCCAGGCTCCTGATTCAGCCTGGTCCAGTCCTGGTAGTTGCCAAAATTCAGGGAGTGAACCACTGGATGGAAGATTTCTTGCTCTCCCTGTTGCTCTATCATTCACATATATAGATGGATGGATGGATCGATGGATGGATGGATCGATGGATGGATGGCTAGGTGAATGTTAAAGTAATGGGTACTTGTAGAAGTGGCCTCCCTTTACAAAAATTCTCCTCCAGGCTTTCATTCTTTACTGCTTTACAACAGATATGACAGCTGAGGACAACTGCCTTTGAGAACCAGGTAAGATACACAATCTCATAGTGTAAAACCAAATATCCAGAGTATAGGGAGGGGTCTTCCCTTCAAAGAGCAATTAGTCAAAGGGCCTTGAGTGTTGAATACTGTTTTCATCCTTACTGGTAGGAGGTTGCTGTGGTTCAGCTCATACCCACAAGTGAAAACTTTCAAATATCAGATGACCTTTTAAAAGACACTTGCATGGCAGGTATTTGGTGCAGAGCTTAAAATGCTGCTTGGATCACCTGAGTCCAGTGTCAGATGACCAATTTATGTGCAGGCTGCTGCAATTCCAATGAACTCAGAAAGGGAAAGGGAGTGCCACTTGCTACCTAAAAGTCAACAATTCCAACAAGAAAATTACTAAAAAGATCAATATGAAACCAAAATGGAAATGTGTTTTTCTCCCTTGAGTTTGCAGTCTTTCTGAAAATTCTTTTTAAATAACAGTTTAAAGATGGAGAAGAGTTGGAGAGATATTTCAGCAAGTGAACTCCATAGCAGTAACAAAGCACATCAAATACAGAAACAAATGTACTCACTCAGTAATGATGTACTGACAGGCTATGGCTAAATTATACTTAAGATTGCTGCTCAGAAAATAATGCAGCATTGTCTTTTAGAGATTAATTCCATAGCTATGAACACTGCACATATGCACACCTCTCTATAGTTTTTCAGTAATTATTAGTATGTTTAAATTATAGTTTTGACATCCTGCTGTATTTGAGGGAGAACTCAAATCTTTTATAAATCAGTATGTGGGACTGGCACTGTGGCACAGCAAGTTAAGCTGCTGCCTGCAGCTCTGGCATCCCATATGGGTGTGAGTTCAAGTTCTGACTGCTCTGCTTCCACGCAGTCTATCTCCCTGCTGATGCGTTTGGGAAAGCAGTGGACGATGGTCCAAGTGTTTGTAAGCTGTCACCCATGTCGGGAACCTGGAAGAAGCTCCTGGCTCCCGGCCTCAGCTTGGCCAAACCCCAGCCATTGTGGTCATTCAAAATGTGAACCAGTGGATGGAAGATTGATTTGTATCTCTACCTCTCTTCTCTCTCTGTAATTCTGTCCATCATATAAATATTTTAAGAACTAGGAAATATGCACTGAGTTTAAACAAAATCAAGTTAGTTTGCCCATTTAAACTGTTGTAGTTCAAGATAGAATTATAAATATTTTAACATACAGAGGAAATTATACTTGCCAGTTTATAAATTACATTGTTTTTATAATTTTGCAAATATTTTTACAGTTTTACAAGTATTAAATACATGTACTTTGTTGCAGAAGAAAAGAATTTGGAAGCAGTTTGTTGACAAGCAGATTAAGTTTTACCCTATAAAAACTGGTCTCAATATTT